GGTCAGCTGGCAAGGCCGCGGCCCGTGGCACAGTTCCTCTCCACCTTGCTTGGCTCCCTGCCTGGAACCTGCTGTGGCTAGACAATAGGTCTCCCAAGAAAGCTAGACAGCCTGTTTCCCTGTAGAAGGGTAGGTCATGCACCGGTGCTTGATAAACAGGGATGTTTTGATAGCACCCTGTGTTCCCCTGTTGTTCCGTGGAGTAGCTTTGCAGAAAGGACAAAGAAACTGGCTTGGGTGCAGCCCCCTCCTCCTTATTCCCCATAATTGTAATAAAAGCCTTGAATAAACGGAGTTCGGGGCTCAGCGGGATGCTGAGACCTCTCCAACCTGACTCCCTGCGTCCTTGACTCATTTCCGCCCCCTCCCCTCTCCTGACGAGGCTGGTCCGCGGCAGGTGGCGCCCAACGTGGGGCCCAAAGAGGTACGAGGGATTTGGTGAGAAACCCCCGGGGGGCCCGTAGCAAAAAGCGGGGGGATTTAATAAGAAGTGCCGTTATGGGTGCTTCAGAATCAAAGGAGCGGAACATGTACGTGCAATTGCAGAAAATGTTGCTCCGTGGACGAGGGACCAAGGTTGGAGAGAAACAGATGGAAAGGTTTTTCAAATTTGTAGAGGAGACATGTCCCTGGTTTCCCGAGGAGGGGACAGTCTCCCTACATACCTGGGAGCGAATAGGAGAAAGGCTCCGCGACGCTTATCTAGCTTGCGGACCCGAGAGGATTCCCATTGATGCCTTTTCCCTTTGGAACTTAGTCCGTGACAGCCTTGATCCAGTACAAAAGATTGAGAGAATGACCCGTAGTCTAGCAGTATCCACCAGAGAAGATCGGCTAGATACCCAGTCAGTGAAGTCCGAGCATTCTTATACCAAGACCCCAGTGGGTGCCACGTTGCTGGCCCCTCCAGGGCCCCCGCCTCCTCTGAGCCCTTTTGCCTCTGCTCCTCCTATAGACGAGGAGATGTTATCCCCCTCCGATCAAGAAGACTTAGAGGAAGCAGCAACAGCGTATGAGGTAGAAAGAGACCCTCAAGTGTTCCCCGTCTTAGGTGATCAGGTGGAGGTTACTGCAGAAGAGGAGGAGGGGGAAGATGAGGATGCTATCTTAGATCCTAGAGCTTTTGCTAGACTGGCAGTTACTCTGCAGTTGCTGAGGCAGCTGGCAGGTACTAAAGAGTTAAGCCGCCAGCAGAGAATGAAAGAGAAAACCCAGTGCCAACTCCAGAAGTTAGGAGAAGGGTGTGTCTGCCGCCGCTCCGGCTGTGGCGGCGGCGTTACGAGCAGGTCCCCGGCCGACTGTAAGCCCCCGTAATCGGGGAGCCCTTACCCCCTTGCAATTATCTTTGAGACAGGAGGGATTGTTTGCAGGCACTTAATGATTTTCAAAAATTACTAGGTAATATCAACTGGCTCAGACCCTCCATTGGCCTCACCACGGAACAGCTGCTGCCCTTGTTCAACATTTTGCGTGGGGATCCTGACCCCACGTCCCCGCGTGTCCTCACGCCTGAAGCTGAGGACGCGCTCGCTTTAATAGATCAAGCTTTGAGCCAGCAACAGATTCTAAGAGTGTCTCCTAATCAACCTTTTTCTTTGTTAATTCTAGATACCCCTTACTTGCCGACGGGCCTCCTCTGGCAGGGGGGGCCCCTAGAATGGCTGCATTTGCCCAGCCAGCGGCGTAAGGTGATTTATCCATACCATCAGGCTATAGCCACTGTAATCCAGAAAAGGCGCTCCCGGGCCCTGGAGCTTTTCGGCCGGGAGCCACTTCATATTGTCCTCCCCCTCCGAAAGGACCTAGTGTAACGATTGTTCCAGAATGATGAAGACTAAGAGACGGCTCTCACAGGATTCCCCGGCCAACTCACATATCATCTCCCCAAACATCCCTTACTTAACTTTTGGACGGCTCATCCCTTTGTTTTCCCTAAGGTGTGCTCTCCACGCCCTCTCACCAATGCTTCGCTGGCATTTACGGATGGCTCCAGCAACGGCACAGCCGCCTGGGTTATTGATAACACCCCTTATGTTTTGCAGACAGGAAAATCTTCTGCTCAACGCGTTGAACTCGCTACAGTCATCAATGTCTTTGAACATCTAACCACCTCTTTAATTTATATTCTAACGCTCAATATATTGTATCTCTCTTTCCTCACCTGGAGACTGCTGTGTTGCCTGGACCGGAGGCTTCTCCCGTTATGCCTTCTCTTTTGCTCCTTCAACATTTGCTTCGCACACGCACTCAACCTTGCTTCATAGGGCACATTCGCGCCCACAGCAATTTGCCTGCAGTCCTTTTCTCTTCTTAGGCTGCCCCGCCAAATTAAAACTGATAATGCCCCTACTTATACCAGCGACAGCTTTCGCCGCTTCTGTGCTACTTTCACTATTGCCCATGTGACGGGCATTCCTTATAATCCGCAGGGGCAAGCGCTCGTCGAGCGCGCGCATCAATCACTTAAGCTTTTGCTTAAAAAACAAAAGGGGGAGGCGGGGACATGTGTGTGTTTTCCCTAGGAACGCGCCAGCCCTCCCTTTGGATTCCCGAACGACTTGCTCGTCCCCAGAATGAAGAAGCAGAACAAAGAGGAGAGAAATCTTCCCTTCCGTTTGAAGAAGTTGTCGCTCGGGGAGGAGGACCCCAAGCTCCTAGTCGGCCACCGTCTCTATCCTCTGCTTCAGATGCCTCCTGAGGCACAGGGCCCGCCTCCTTGCCCGAATAGAGGCCGCGTGCGACCCCCCCTCGCGGGCCACGCGAGAGTCGCTGCCTGTCACTTGGGGGCAGATCAAGCGCCTCACCGGAGAGGCGCAAGCCGCCGTGGCCCATGCCGGGCTTCCCAGCTGTCCCAGCACGCTGTTATTGGCCATGGTGGCTGTCCTCACTGCTCAGCACTGCATGCGCAGATTCAGCGGATGTCCAAGGCCCACCTGGACCTGAGTGCTGCAGACACAGCTCAGGACATTCTGAACAGCCTGCGGGACGCTTGGGGGAACGATGACTGGTGGACTCGAGTGGTTGGAGGGGCGGCAATAGTTGGGTTGTTTATTTGCTTCCTTTTTTGTTTTCCAGCCCTCCTCCGATACTCCTGCAAACAGTGGCAATCCCTGCGGCTCCAACAGTTCAAATACCATCTAGAGGAGATGCGGGCGCCACAAGCCCCCCTTGGCAAAGCCGGGGGGCCTGGACCAGCTGGCAAAGCCGCTGCCCGTGGTGACCTTTCAGCTTAGAAAACAAAAAGGGGGAGATGTGGGCGCCACTAGCCCCCTTGGCAAAGCCAGGGGGTCAGGCCGGCATAGCTACTGCTCGTGGAGACGTGACTGTAAGCCCCCCTTGGCAAAGCCAGGGGGCCGGGGTCAGCTGGCAAGGCCGCGGCCCGTGGCACAGTTCCTCTCCACCTTGCTTGGCTCCCTGCCTGGAACCTGCTGTGGCTAGACAATAGGTCTCCCAAGAAAGCTAGACAGCCTGTTTCCCTGTAGAAGGGTAGGTCATGCACCGGTGCTTGATAAACAGGGATGTTTTGATAGCACCCTGTGTTCCCCTGTTGTTCCGTGGAGTAGCTTTGCAGAAAGGACAAAGAAACTGGCTTGGGTGCAGCCCCCTCCTCCTTATTCCCCATAATTGTAATAAAAGCCTTGAATAAACGGAGTTCGGGGCTCAGCGGGATGCTGAGACCTCTCCAACCTGACTCCCTGCGTCCTTGACTCATTTCCGCCCCCTCCCCTCTCCTGACGAGGCTGGTCCGCGGCAGCTGGGAGGTAAGTTTATGGGCCAGAAGACCCTGATGCCTTCAAGGACTACAAGTCCTGATATTTAGTATGCTGTAGTTTCCAATATTTTGTTCTCTTTATCAACATATCATGATACCAAAAGGTGGGCTAATGTTTTCATCGATATTCTCTCCATTTTTGTGTCTAGTTCAACATTATTTCAAGTGAGTCTTCAACTTTCATGGTCAATTATTTGTTAATTCTTCTGAAGTCAGAGTGGGACGCACACAAAATGCTGAGAAAAGAAACAGGTTGTTTGGGCAGGAGCGACACAAGTAACATGGTGTAAAAAAGCAGGGGTGTTTCATTAACACAGACTCACAAATCTCTATAATTTCTCCCATTTAATATTTTGGTTCATCAACTTAACCTTATTGGTAATATTGTAACAGAGGCCAGTCAGAAGCACACAGAATTTGTTCACCTGCTAGCACTCTGCAGTGTTTAGCCTTTCGGGGTTGCCACAGTAAGTCCCTGGCAGGTGCAACATACTCCAAGCTCTCAGGGCAGGTGCTGTAACCAGCGGGAGCAGCCCCCCCCCCCCCCCCGCCCCGTTACATCATGGGTCAAAGTTATGCATTGCTTCCGGCTCCATTCTGTTGTTACTAATATACAAAATAGCTGTTTTTGCATATCAGGTATAAAGCTGGCCTGCAAACTAACTCTCAATGGTCCTGCTCCATGTGTCCCTTCCCCCAGCTAGGCCTATTATCCTGTATTCCTAGACACCCCAGGTTCTGGACCCTGTCATAAATTGACATTGTCTTTCAACAAAACTTCAGGATCAGAATCAAATGGTCACAATATAAGATGCGACCACAATCACACAAATGGGTGTAAATTCGCACAAGCCCAAAAGTCAGTGCACCTCAGAATCTCTCAACCCCATAGACTCCCTATCACAGAATTCACTGCTAGAATTTTCAACACACAATCATACAAAGCAACTCCTCCCTTTTTTGACTGCCACCAGAAGCTTGAGGCTCAGGCTGCTCGGTCTGGACCCCGCCAGCGGGCCTGACTTTCCCACCACCTTTATCCCTCCGAAGTCCAGTCCTAGGTGGAGCCCACCCCAGACGGAACTAAACCGACTGAGTTGTGCTGCCTTATTGAACCAAGCACGGTAACCTCAGGAACCCGAAGATCCAGCTAAAGTGCTTTTTTGGCAGAGACAGATTTGTGCCGCTAAGGCTTCTGGGAAATGTAGTCCGGTGCCGGAAAGCTGTGTGGACCTTTTCAGATTCTTTTCAGCACATAGCGGCAATCCCACGGACTCCGAGTGCCGGGATCAAGGGAAGCTGCTTCGGTAAAACTTAAACCGAGCTTCCTCTGCAGATCGGGGCGCCCTTAAACGCCGCAGTCGGTTTTTGAGAGTATTTGCAACTGGGAAAAACTGTCCAGCCTGGGTGAGCCGAGGAGGGCTGTGGGAAGTGTCGTCCCGCTTCTAAGAGCCCAAGGCTCGTGCTGCCCCTCCGCTGAAGCTCGCAGTGGCCCCCGTGGCGTCCCTGCAGCACCACGCACCAGCTGTGCCACTTGGTCGGCGCTGAGATGTGGAATTGGGGCCTTTGTCTGAGAGCCCGGTGGTGAGTCCTCGGGCAGCTGCGAGCTCGGAGGCCGGGATTTAGTGCTGGGTGGGAGTAGGGGCCTGCGGACCGTTGTTGGAGGAGGATGCCTGGCCTGGCTTGGCCCGTGCGTGTGGTTACCTGAGGCCGCGTGAGTGGCGTGTTGAAGGCAGCACGTGGACCAGTGTTACTGTATTTACCAGATATTTGTCTGTGACAAAGTGTGGCCGTGGGTTCGTGTGTATAAGCGATTTTGGAGGATGTGATTTTCCTTTTATGTTTCAATATGAACATGCGTGCGAGCGAGCGTGCTTGACTGTGCTGGGGTCGGTGAGTGAATGAGAAACTCCGTGGATGGAAGGTAGAGTACGGTTGTGTGTGTAGATTTGGGAGATTGTATCAGTGTTTTATTTCGTTGGTTATGGTGATAAGAAATGTGTTTTTATATGAGACGTCAGTAACCCGAATACTTCTTTTTAATATTTATTTGAAATTGTATTTTGTGTCTTAGTCGTGTTGTTTTATGGCATACTAACTTCACGCTCCTTTCCCCTGACTCTCTACCCTAAATTGCAGTATACAGAGAGTTGCAATAAACACCAGTGCTTATAGTGCACCTTACTAATTTTGGGGTCTGGGGTGGTACAGGCTCCTAGGGGTGAAACTGATGGGTCAAAACGTATGCTCTTATTAACGGCTTCCTAAATCTATCCAGTTATTCTCGTCTGGATTATTGTCATATTGTATAATACTGGATTATACAGTATTATTGTCATAGTATAAGATTGCATATATTCATGCACCCATGATAACAATGGATATCATTAACATTAGTAATCTTTGTAAAAATTGAAGAAATGCTGGAGGCATGATACAGTAAATTCTGGGTGAAGAGTTCCCTAGAGTCTGGTTTGGGTTTCGAGTTCTCCAAATTGGCTGCCATGGACAGACAGTTGTTGTGTGCTGGTCACTCAGGTACTTAGTGCATTTTCACTGAACACATTCCATGTGAACAGCACTTCCGAGGATCCTGGGAATATAGTAGAGAAGGAGGCAGAAAATGCTGCTGCTCTCACAGCTCCGAGTGTAGTGTGGTGCAGAGGGCCTGCAGTGGTGAAAGGGCCATGAAATACTAGCCTCATCCCTAAATTTTAAGTATCAAAGTTCAGCTCTAACGAATGACGAAACCATGTTGAATTGATCCAGACATTGTCCTCAGAAGCATGTTAGACCAGCTATGTTATTAGGCTTTATTGACACATTAGACCCGCTTGCCTGTTTTTCACTTAATAGTATTAGTAATAAATGGAAAAATCACTGAAATTTCAGGTACCCATTTGAGTATGGAGGAAGCTTCCTAGAATGAAGAATCAGGAGGGAGAGTCTGAGAGAACAGGCTTTTCACAAACACTTCTTGCTCAAACTTGTTTCACATTGAACATTTTACAAGAACAGGTCTCTTATTATATTCTTCTTAGCTTCCTGGAGTAAAATCAGCTGGCTGAGAAAAGTACTAAGCCTTTTCAAACCCAAAGTAAAAAGTTTCATTGAAACTTTAAAAAAATTCTACCCAAGTATCTGTAACTATCTACACAACAAGTTAATGCATAGGTCAGATGCTTTATAATTTTACAGTCTCTAAAAATATGGATAAGTCAAACCACATGTAAAATCCTAACACCTGTTACAAATAAACACACACATAAAATATTAGTTTGTTAACCTCATAGATATAAAATAATTTCTTTAATTTGCAGTTATTTGATTACTACTGAAGGCAAGCATTAAAAATATTTTTCTAAAGTGATGTTCTATTTTCAAATTTATTTTGTCAGAGTTCTTAATGTATTACGGATTCATTCATTCATTTACTCCACCATTTACTGAATGGTGGAGTCAGGAACCATTCTAGATGCTTGGGATACAGCATTGAACAAAAGAGACAACACTGCTGTTACGGTACTTAAGTGGTCATGGGCCAGATACTAAGTGAGGTAAATTAAATATAACATACATTAAATAGTGAAAAATACTAAGATAAAATATAAAGCAGAAAGAGAAATAGAATTAGGAATGGGAGGTGGAGTTTTAGGATGGGGTAGGAGTCTTAAAATGTATAAATAAAAAATATGAAGGAAGTAAAGGAGCTAGGTATGTGCATAGTTGAGGGTAGGTTATTCCAGGCAGAGTTAACGACAGTTACAAAGCCCTGAGGTGATAACATGCCAGTTAAAATGAAGAGGCTGGTGTGACTGAAATAGAGCAAATGAGAGTGTGAATGGTGAGAGATGAGGGAAAAATGGTGAGTGGAAGGAAGTAGAGCAGATCAGGTTGGGCCTTATGGGCCATAGTAGTGATTTTGGCTTTTATCTAAATGAGATGAGAAGCTGTTGGAGAGTTTTGAACACGGGAGTGATATTACCTGAAAATAAGTTAAGATTGCTTTGGCTGCTCTGATGAGAAGACTATGGGAAGAAGAATGGAGAGATGGAGAGACAAAACTGGAAACTATTGCAATAACTAGGGAAAAGATGTTGGCGACCAGAGAAGTAAAAATGGTGAGAAGTAATTATGTACCACATATAACTTGAAGACAAAGCTGATACAATTGCTGACAAAACTGATGTGGAATGTAAATGTGACAAGATGACACGATATTTTTTTTTAGCTGAACAACTTGAAAAATAGAGTTATCATTAACTGAGAAAGGAAAGAAAGAAGGAGAAACTGGCTTGAGGCTTAGAGAGATAGTGAGATTCTGGTTTATTATGGGAAGTGTGAGATATCTATAAGTCATTCAGTTGGAGGTGTTAAGTTTGCAGTGGGATACACAAGTCTGAATTTCAAAAGAAAGATCTAAGATCTAGGTTGGAGACACACATTTGAAAATTATTAGCATGTAGATAATATTTCTTTATTTTTAAATTTTTTTATTGTTTTTCAGTTACAGTTGTTCCAATTCCCCCCCCCCCATTGCTCTCCCCTGCCCTGCCTCTCCTCAGTCAGTCCCCATGCTGTTCTCCATTACCATTATACTATTCTCCTTTATACACGTTCCTTGACTAGACCCTTCCCTTTCTTTCCCGTTACCCCTTTATCCCCTCCCCTCTTTTCACTGTCAGTTTGTTGTTTATTTCCAAATCTCCGGTTCTGTTTTGCTCTTTTGTTCATTAGGTTCCACTTATAGGTAAGATCATATGGTATTTGTCTTTTACCACCTGGTTTATTTCACTTAGCATAATACTCTCCAGTTCCATCCATGCTGTCGCAAAGGGTAGGAGTTCCTTCATTATTTTTGCTGCGTAGTATTCCATTGTGTAAATATTCCACAGTTTTTTGATCCACTCACTTACTGATGGGCACTTAGATTGCTTCTAGCGCTTTGCTATTAAAATTGGGCTGCTATGAAATTTGGGGTGCATAGGTTCTTTTGAATTAGTGTTGCCGGATTCTTAGGGTGTAATCCCAGCAGAAGGATCACTGGATCAAAAGGCAGTTCCATTTTTAGTTTTCTGAGGAAATTCCATACTGTTTTTCACAGTGGCTGCACCAGTCTGCATTCCCACCAACAGTGCACTAGGGTTCCCTTTTCTCCACAACCTCGCCAGCACTTGTTCTTTGTTGGTTTATTAATGATGGCCATTCTGACGGGGTGAAGGGGCATCTCATTGTAGTTTTAATTTGCATCTTTGTGAAGGCTAGTGATGTTGCACATCCTTCCGTATGTCTCTGTGCCCACTGTATGTCATTCAGGTCATACAGTGACCTCCTTCAGGTCATTTACACATTTTAAAAAAGATTTTATTTAATTTTAGGGAGAGGGGAAGAGAGGGAGAGAAATATTTATCTGTATGTGGTTGCCTCTCGTGTGGCCCCCACTGGGGACCTGGCCTGCAACCCAGGCATATGCCCTGACTGCAAATCGAACTGGCTACCCTTTGGTCCTCAGCCCATGCTCAATCCATTGAACTCCACCAGCCAGGACCCTCTGAGCATTTTTAACTGAATTGTTTGTCTTCCTGCTTTGAGTCATATGAGTTCTTTATATATTTTGGAGATCAAGCCCTAGTCTGAGGTATCATTGGCAAATATGTTTTCTCATACAGTTGGTTCCCTCCTTTTCATTTTGCTGATGTTTTCTTTAACTGTGCATAAGCTTTTTAATTTGATGTAGTCCCATTTGTTTATTCTTTCCTTTATGTCCCTTGCCCTAGGAGATATATCAGTGAGGATATTGCTGTGTGGGATATCTGATATTTTACTATGTTTTCTTCTAGGCTTTTCATGGTGTCACAACTTGTATTTAAGTCTTTTATCCATCTTGAACTTATTTTTTGTGTATGCTGTAAGTTGGCAGTCTAGTTTCATCGTTTTGCATGCACCCATCCAGCTCTTCCAGCACAGTTTGTTGAAGAGACTATTTTTACTCCATTTTATGCTCCTGCCCCCTTTATCAAATATTAATTAACCATAGAGACTTGGGTTTATTTCTGGAGTCTCTATTCCATTAGAATGGAGACATCTGTTCTAATGTAACAGACACATCTGTTCTATTGGTCTATGTATCTGGTCTTATGCCAAACAGTTTTGACTGTTTGATATCAGTACCAGACTGTTTTGATTATAGTGGCCTTGTAATATTGTTTGATATCAGGTATTGTGATCACTCCTACTTTGTACTTCTTTCTCAGAATTGCAGAGCCTATTCGGGGTCATTTATGGTTCCATATGAATTTTTGAAATATTTGTTCTGTATGTGTGAAATATGTTAGTCATATTTTAAAAGAGATTGTTTTGAATCTAGAAATTGCTTTGGATAGTATGGACATTATGATGATGTTAATTCTTCCAGTTCATGACCACGGTATATGCTTCCATTTATTTGTGTCTTCCTTAATTTCTTTCTTTAATATTGTATAGTTTTCTGAGTACAAGTCTCTTACCTTCTTGGTTAGGTTTATTCCTAGGTGTTTTATTTTTCCTGTTGCTATAGCAAATGGGATATTTTTCCTAGTTTCTGT